TGTCAAAGAATAATAATAACAAAGTTTACAAATTGGAGACTGGATTGTGTTGGAATATTGAGGTTCGAAAAACCTTAAATAAAAAAAACAGGGGAAAAAGGTGAGGACTTTGTATAATGGAGAGTGTCACCTTTTGATAAAAATTTGGTTCAAATAAAAGGGAAAGCATCCTGTTTTTGAATGAACTGGTGTGGATATAACATTACAGAAATATTGAAACAAAGTAAGAATTTTAGAAGGTGAAAGCAGAACCAGAATAAAGGAAAAAGCAAGGAAAGATTGTGGGACTGATTGATGTTTTTGGTATAAACCCTGGACTGGAATAACTGAGAACTTTAAAAAAACTGAAAGAAGAAAGAAGGAAAGTAAAAGTGGTTTCTTTTTGTGGACTTTAACAATCATAAAATATAAGAATGATGATATCTCTTCGGGAATTAAAAATGGAACTTAAAAATATGAGAGAATTACTACAGGAAAGAGGCGAATCACTTTGCTTTGTGCTAGAAAAAATGGAAATGGCGATCGAAGAACAAGAAGAAAGATTCTCAGAGGAGGAGGAATTGACTCAAGGAGAAGACATTTTAAATAGACAATTAACACAAAGAACTCTACAAAGAAGTGGGGAAAGAAGGAAGGTTAAAAAGTTGAGTTTTAAGAAAGCAATTAAAAGAGGGAATACCTGTGAAGTTAGGAAAGGCAGAAAGACTCAGCAGAAAGGGGGAAAGGAAGATATTAAGAAAGAGGGATACAAATTGGAATGAGAAAAGATATGGGGAAAAGAGGAGGAGGAGAAGCAGTAAGAAACAGGCGTGTGAAAGAAAGAAACACAGAACTAGTAAAACGTTGAAAAGATATTGCTTTTTCAGAGATAATGGTTGATGAATTAAAAAGGGGATTCCACAGGGTGACAAGGGGTAATAATATTTCTGCAATTAAAAATATTTAGAAAATAGGGTAATATAGAAACTGATAACTCTTATTAAAGGGGAGGGGGAAATATGCTGTGGAATCCAACTGAAAAGATGTAATGATTAATGGTTTATTGGGAATTAAGATGAGGGAATAAAAGTATATTCTAATCATTAAGGTGTCACACTCAAAATGGTAAAAGAGGGGAAACTTATATTTGTTCTTTTTTCTTTTTGTGTGGGTGTGTTAAAATTTGTATTAATTTAGAATTCACAAAAAAAATGTGTAATGGAAAGGGAATATGAGAGACTAAAGAACCAGCTAAATTAATAAATTTAATATAGATTATTAAAAGCAAGGAGAGACATTGGTAACTTCATTATTACTACTATTAGGCAAATATATATTGTTTATTTTTATTTTTAAAATAAATATTAAGGATTATATTTGAAATAATTGAAATGAAATAAAAAGATGTTTAGATTGAGATTAATGAAAGAACTTATAATTAAACTTTATTATTATTATTATTATTATTATTATTATGCAAACACATATTGTTTATCTTTATGTTTAAAAACAAATACCAAAGGATCATATTTGAAATAATTGAAATGAAATAAAATCGATTGAGATTAATGAAAGAGGCCAGAATTAATGTGTTTATTTCTCTCTTTACTGAAAATTTGGAACGGAAAAGGCAATAATAGAATTAAGTATGCATATATCAATGTATAATTGCTGTCATATTTGTATGTAAAGATGATGACCCGGAAATATGCTGTCCACTAAAAGGATATTTTTGTTTTTAATGTGAAAAACTGAATAAAGTTCCTCCCCCCCCAAAAAAAAGGATCTTACAAACATCTCAAGAAGTATTATGGATAGATTCTACCACTATTCTTAATAGCTGCAACAATCCTGGTCTCCTGACTACTAAAACCCATCAAGTTATTCAATTTGCCATCGTTCCCATAATTCCCCAGAGTTCTACTTAATAATATTCTGCCTTTTTTAGTAAAGCAATGAATATGAAAAGTAATTGAAAATTTTAGTTTGGGGATTGCTGGAAAAAAGAGGTTTGGGGTGAGAGGAGTAAAAGAGAAATAGCAGATAAACAGAATGAAACTTAAATTGAACTAAAAAAGAGACCAATCAATCAATTAGAGTAGAGCTGCAAGGGACCTTGGAGATCTTCTGGTCCAACCCTCTGCTCAAGCAGGAGACTTTATACCATCTCAGATAGGTGGCTGTCCAATGTTTTCTTAAAAACCTTCAGTGATGAAGCACCTACAACTTCTGAAGGCAAGCTGTTCCACTGGTTATCCCAAAGGGGCTCAAGAGGGAACTGGATTTTCTGGATTTTCTTTGAAGAGGTTTTGCTTCTCATCTAAGAAGCTGCTTCATCTTGAAATGTGTCCAAACAAAAACCAGAAAGTCCGGTGGCCTCTTGAAAAAGCACCTTTGGGACAACCATGACCTGGATGACTGAAAATCTCCATGGACGTTCCATTGGTTAATTGTCCTCTCTGACAGGAAGTTTCTCCCTAGTTCCAGTTGCATTTCTCCTTGATTAATTTCCATCCATTGTTTCCATCCTTTGGTGCTTTGGAAAATGTAAGTTTCACAGTTTCTTCATCGTGGTAGCCCCTCAGAGACTGGAATAGTGCTATCATTGCAAAATCTAGCCTTTCATTTCTCTAAACCCAATTCCTGCAACTGTTCTTCATGTGTTTTAGTCTTTAGGCCTTTAATCAGGGGCATGGAGGTTGCCCTCTTAATTGCATTTGTCTTAGAAATATTCTGCTGTTTATATTTACCAATATCATTGCTTGGTCTCAACCTGTATCTGTATTTCTGATTTGCAGCACTTTGGTGCCCCCTACAGGAAATCTCTTCTGAACTATAAATGAAGAGAGACTGTTTTTGGCCTTTTCAATCAGTAAGTCAAGACTCTCTCAATTGAATTCTACTGAATAGCGGAATATTAATGCAATTTCAAGGGGTTTCAATTCAATGTATAGAATGTGAAGGATGTGTGTTTGTGTTTATTTTCATAGGAATGTGCAGCAGCTAAAATAGTCAACACAGTTCTAGGCTGCATAAACAGAGAGATAGAATCAAGATCACATGAAGTGTTAATACCAATTTATAAGGCCACACTTGGAATACTGCATTCAGTTCTGGTCAGCACGATGTAAAGAAGAAATTGAGACACTAGAAAGAATGCTGAGGAGAGCAACAAAGATGATTAATAAAAAGAGATAACCCGGGGTAAGCCACTTTCCAAAAGAAGTTTTAGGTATTTATGTTTTGTGTTTTATACGTCTACGTTTGAATTAATAAAATTTTAGAAGAATGTAAGAAGAACGTTGGAAGAGAACAATGAAATTGTAAATAAGACAGATGGATATAAAAAATGTATACAATCTGAAGTAATAGAAATATAATTTGAATAAATAGAAGGAAAGGGAGTAATAAAGAGAAGTTGGGATAAGATATGAAGTTGAACAGATAAGGTAAATATATATATCAAATTGTGTTCATATGGAAATGTGATAATTTGGAATTATTCTGTCTTTAAATAAGATGTCTTATTGTTTTTTTCAGAAAAAGATCTCTTACGTTATTATATCCTATGCTTTGTTTGTCTGTATATTGTTTTGTAAAATTAATAAAATTTGTTTTTTAAAAAAAGATTGTGTTTACTGGAGGGCTGGGATTTTACCAGTTCGAACCACTTCTATAGAACCAGTTGTCATGACTCTTTGCAGTTAGGAGAACTGGCAAATCATGCCACTGGCTGGCCCCACCCCTCTCCACTTGGACAACCAACCTGAAATGATGTAGGGTTTCCTGCCTGAGCAGGGAGTTGGACTAGAACAGTCATCACCAACTGGTGGGCCATAGCCCACTGGTGGTCTGTGAGAACATTTTGGTGGGCCGCAGAGAAATGTCACCCCAAGAGCACCCCCCATAGCAATTAATCCAGGCTGCATGGGAACACAAGGCCCACATGGCCCATAGGAACCCTCCCTGCCCAGTCATTCCTTACCTGACAAACTTGCCTCCTAAGTTGCTATTTTTCCTTTTTTTTCACCTGACCATCAGCTGTTCTTTTAAGCAGAGCTGAAACTTCCTTAGGCCTGAAAGTTCCATTATTCAGTGCTGACTCAGGTAGCTGATGGCAGATAGATCTCTGAGTGAATCTGTGATTCTGTGAGCAACTCAATCTGCATGCCTGATTTGCCTGATTTGCGGTAAAAGTTTCTCTTTTTTAAATAAAAATATCAATATTTACATAATATTTACATACAAGCCATGCCTAGCCAGTCACATGTCTCCCAAGCCACCCCCACAAATTAGGCTATGCCCACAAAACCGGTTGTTAAGAAATTTGAATCCCACCCCTGCCTCTGTGTGTTTGTGGGTGTGGGTGTGTGGGTGAGAGAGAGAGAGAGAAGGGGAGGGAGGGAGGGAGGGAGGGAGAGACGTGAGATCAGATCTCTCTCTTTCTCCCACCAATGTCAGCAAGCCACCATCAGTCAAAATTCATATTAGTGGTCCCTGGGGTTTAGAATTATGATTTTGAAGTCCAAAAAGTTGGCAACCACTGGACTAGAAGACCTCCAAGACTCCTTTCTTACTCAGATGGAGTTCATCTAAGAGAGACCTTTATAGATAACCTTCTCTTTCCTTTGATATATGGTGGAAATGAAAAGTAATGGAAAATATTATTTGAAGAACAGCTCCTATTGCAATTAGTCTCTAAATTATGTGGTTATGTTGGTACATGTGTTCATAAACCCTAATTAGTGTTGGAAAAAAGGTAATGATATTCCTGATATTTCACTCTCTTTGCACATGACACGTGACTAGTTTCCTCAGATATCCCAAAATTTAGTTCAGGTGGATTAATTGGGTAGAATGTCATAGTCTCAAGATGAATTTAGGACTCAACAGTGAGTCCTTTATTTTGATGTTCTTCTTGGAGTTATATTCCTCCAAAAATTCAAATGACTTCACTTGTCTGAATGTTGATCTGAATGTTAAGCACAGTCAGAATCAGTTTCCTGTTTTTGCCCAGAAGAGACAGCAGGATCAGTCACTGTGCATCTCTGGCACAATAATACATGGCAGTGTCAGTAGCTGACATGGAGTTCAACTGAAGGGAATATTCATTCTTGGAGTTGTCTGAAGCAATGGTGGTGCGGCTTTGAAGAGAAGATGAGTACCATTTTCCCCCATTATGGGGGAAGATTCTGGCAATCCATTCTAAGCCTTTCCCTGGAGGCTGACGGACCCAGTTCCAAGCATAGCTTCCATCAGTGATGGAAACACCAGTAACTTTACAGAGTAAATTGAGGTTTTGTCCTGGTCTTACAGTTCCAGGCCCTGATGATACAAGTTGAACCTCAGCAAGGGACCCTAGAGAAGTAAGAGAAATAAAAATTAGAATTCATATACCTCAGAAAAAGAAATAATATTGTCGGTTTCTGTAAAATTATGTACTCACATTTTGACATGGCTATCAGAAAAAAGAAAACCAGACAGTAATTCATCATGGTCCCTTAAACAAATTTCCTCCAATTCAACCTTTAGACTTTGAACAAAATATGGCCATGAATCAGAGAGTTCTGCTTTTAAAGGAGAACACCTGATGATATTTGCATAAATCAGTGGGCTATAAAAGAGATCTTAGAAAGCAAGGTGAACTTGTATTCTATAGGAGAGTCTGGAGAAAGACTCCCTCCCTCCCTCTCTCCCTTCCTTCCATTCTTCCTTCCTTTAACAAATCACAATACAAAACAATTTTTCATCCTTGTAGCACAAGTCTGTTTTTCACAGTGTTACATCAGCTTCCTTCCTTCCTTCCTTCCTTCCTTCCTTCCTTCCTTCCTTCCTT